TTGACACTTTTCTGGAAAGCAGTAAATTTTATTATTTGGACTGCAAAATTGTTATATGGCTCGAAATAAAACCATGTGGCCTTTTTATCCTTGCTACGCAAGGTTAGCCCCCACCGCAATCACATCTGCGCAAAATCTGCTGAACCCCTGCTTTTCTAGTACAGAGAGGGAATGAGGGAAAAGAGAGAGCGCGGAGGGAGGATGGGTAAGAAGAGAACTTAAAAAGATCAACCCTGAAACAAACATATTGTGTAAGTTTTAGTGGGGAGTTTTCTGAAATGTCACCGTTTTGTCCACAGCTTCTCTGGGCTTTGGGAAAGAGTCATCATATAAGGCTTCCTTGCTCCCTCGTCTTGCCGTTATGTCCGATCTCCTGAACAACAGCACCCCTCAGAAACTGACTGTGCGCCAAACAAATTCAACAACAAACTTACTGTGAAACGGTATCCATGTGCTTGACACTTTTGATCTTTTGCGATATGCCTTGATCCAGACTTGCGGTTTCATCAGACGTGTCCATCAAATCATCCAAACATTTCGGGCGTCGAAAACCTGTGCGTTCAAATCTGCTGCGTGGTGTCGTGAAAAAATCGTCAGTTGCTAAATCATCGTTGAATGACAAATCGCCATCATGGAACGTGTTAACAATTTCATCGCCGCCACTACCTCGCGATCGAAGAGTAACCTGCAATTTACTGCTTTGCAAGAATTATTATCAGATCTCATCAGTATTCCACATTCATTCATCTGGAATGATTAACTTGCCACAGGCTCGTCCGGCGCCTTTAAAAAAGAAAAAAAAAAAAACTACTTGTTTTGATACAGAACGATTATTCACCAATTCACCCAGTCAGTTCTATACAATTACACTAAAATTCCTCATTCCCTCCACATGCATTCCAAAGTTTTCCATTTCAGTGAATGCATTGGAAAAGACTTCATGTCGAAAGTAAAATGGAACAGGTTTGACTTTTGTACGAGGAACAGGGAAATAAATAAAATTTTTGAAGTAGCAAATAAGCTGAAAAGTGCCATTTACTGTGAAAATGTATTTTATTATATTACTGTCCATTGTGCGTATTAAACTACCTAAGACTAATGAGTAGAATGAAAAAATTATTTATTTGATGTCTGGAGGTGACCAACGCGCACGGTGAGGTTACTAAGCTGCAGTCGAAGGCAGTCAATATGTAAGGACAATCTCTGGAATAACCCGGGGTTAGCAAATAGATGTACTTCAAAAAAATGACACAGAATGCTCAGGACAAAAAGTACGAGTAGCAAAACTACGAGCCAATTTTCATTAAATCTCATCAAGCTGGTAATTGAATGAAAATTGGCTAATTTGGGCAGAAGCGCCGGAACTTTATTTATGATAAATTTAGATGATTATTTTGCTATTTCAAACGCGGCAGTGTATTTCACACTTGAGAAAACCCCATACATAAACCGTAGAAAAGTAATTAGTTCTGAGCCCATTACAGATCCTTAGGACTGACACCGGATGGGCGAAGGACTGCAATCCAATGTATATCATAAGGCGCTTTCGAGTTTGTTTTGATTCAGACCTGTGATCATCGGTGATGACACAGTCGAAATTAAAGCTTGAATTTGCAGTAAGGTAAAGTTGATTCTTTGAGATCTGTTTTTTTTTTCGAGTTGTAAATTCAGCCGGATTTTTCGAAATTGAAATCAGGTCATGTAGCTCAGAAGACACAAAAGTCTGAAGAATGACTCCGGATTAGCAGCCTTTAGTTAGATTGGTTGTGCTTACAGAACATTAGCTTCCCAATCACTTCCGATGTCCTCAACTCATGCTAATCTTATGCTGATTATCCGGACATAACGGATGCAAATAGACGTATGTTTGCCATAGCACGCATTCGATTTACATAAAAAGCGCAAGATGGAGCCATCGCACAGTATGAGCTTTTAGCACCATAAATGGTCTTTTAATAAATAAATTATATCACAGTAAGGAAAATATTAATTGTGATATGTATATAGAAACACAAAATTATATTTAAAAAAAAGCTAGCTTTATTATTTTGTCTGTCAGACGGTCGCTTTATACCTGTTTACTGTTTTGCAGCATATTGAATGTCCTCATTTTTCGCCTTCGTATTTCACTGCCATTTGAAAGCCGTTGGACCTCCTCTTCACAGGTTTGCGTATCTTTTTTTTCCTCACGTTCCTCTCTAAAATTTGAAGCAAATTAATCAAACAACCGATTTATTCTTTCGCTCGGATACTGCCCTTCGATATAAATTGTAGTTTTTGTGCTATACCGACATAACAAAGCTGCTCAACAAACTTCTCTTCTTACAGGCTCTTCGGTGAAAACTGGTGAACGGAAAAATCCGAGAATGAAAATGCAACAGATCAGTTTTTTTTTTTTTT